AGTGGTTTACATATTAAAATCCTCACCATACCTCCATTTTCCCCTAAGGTTCAGAGATGTTAAGTAACTTGCTCAACACAACACAGCTCTAAGTAGCGACGCTGCCAACTGTTCTGAAGACCAGCTTCTGCCACTACAGAAGTGACGAGTGGGAGAACTGAGGATTCCAGCTTCACCAAAGTGAGTGAGAGGACCTCCCTGAGCTGAGGGAGGGGAACCAACGTCACTTGGGCCAGCCCAGAAATGAACTGGCTAGGTGTCCCAGTGCCCATGTCCGGGGCAGCTAAGGCCTCAGCTTGGGGTTTCAACACCTTTGAGCTTTTGTGTCACCTCGTCCCCTCACGCCCCAGCCTGTGACAAGACGCAGAAGGACTGACGGACAAATAGACCGGAAGCCTCGCCTTGTGCACTGTGAAGGAGCGTCTCTACTTACCAGGGCATGAGGCGGCCCAGGCGGGTCCAGGAGGATTTGCTGATGCAGAAGCCCACCAGAGGGTCAGTGAAGGCATCCCAGGCTCGGCCCACAAAAAGTATAATGGAAGCAGGGAGCGGGTCCACCTGCCGTGGGGAAGAGGCCAAAGAAGACATTCACCTCAGCAGGGATTTCCTCACTGTCAGCCAGGCCGTGGAGACCTGTTCCCCCTGGATCTTAAACATTTTCACTCACTTTTTCTCTTTTCAAGACAGGGCTTCTCTGTGTAGCCCTGACTGTCCTGGAACTCGCTCTGTAGACCAGGCTGGCTTTGAACTCAGAGACCCACCTGCCTCTGCCTCCCAAGTGCTGGGATCAAAGGCATGGGCCACCACCGCCCAGTTTCCCTCACTTCCTTAATAGTGACAGTAGCAGAGCCAGGGGCTCAGCTCAGTGGCAGCATGATTGCTTGCCTAGAATGGATGAGGTGCTGGGTTCAATTCCCCCACACTGTGAAAAAACAATAATTACAACAGCAACTGGGCATGGTGACGCACGCCTTTAACCCCAGCATCCGGTAGACAGAGGCAGACGGATTTCTGTGAGTTCAGTGCCAGCCTGGTCTACAGAGTAAGTTCCAGGACAGTCAAGACTACATAGAGACACTCAGTCTCCAAAAGACAAAATAATAGTAATAATAATAATGATGACGACAACAGCATTTCTCTGATAACTATGTTATCAGAGTAGGACTGTGTTCGAAGCTTTTCTGGATCTTTCCTTCCCTCTGCTACACTTAAAAACATCTCACCAGACAGAATGAACACAGAATCATTTCCTTCCTTCTTTCTCACAGTTCTGAGTCCCTGACCACCTGATAACAGAGCTAGTGTCTGTTCCCTGGGCAACCACAGTGAGCCTCAGTTTGCTCATCTGTATAAGAGTTATGGGTTGTAGTGTGGTTTATGAGGTCAGGCTTTATCCTGGATATGGACAAAAGAATCTATAGATGCTTTCCTTCATCTTCTTTTTTTAAGAATCCATCTTATTATTTTAAGTTATGTGATTGGGGGGGGCATGGGGTTGTTTGAATGAATACAGGAGGCCAGAGGCATTGGATCCCCTAAAGCTGGAGTTCTAGCCAGTTGTGGTTTTGAGTGGCCTGGTACAGGTACTCACAACTCAGGTCCTCTGAAAAGAGCAGCAAGCCGTTAACCACTGAGCAATCTGTCCAGTGACCTCCCCCGACCATGACACTGTGAGTGAGTGTGTGTGTGTATGTGTGTGTGTGTGTGTGTGTGTGAGAGAGAGAGAGAGAGAGAGAGAGAGAGAGAGAGAGAGAGAGAGAGAAAGAGATCTCATTTGTACTCCTGACTGGCCTAGAACTTGGTAAGTAGACTAGACCAGGATCCTCCTCTTGGCTCTCCCTTCCCAGTGCTGGGATTACAGATGTGTATGTGTGTATGTGTGTGTGTGTGTGTGTGTGTGTGTGTGTGTGACTATGCCTGCCCTATAGATGCTTTTTAGAAAGTGGCCAGTCACCTTCAAACACTCTAGGTTCTAAATACATATTTTTTGGTTTCAACCTCATCCATAAAGCCTTGATTTTTTTTTTTTATACTTTGTTTTTGAGACAGGGTCCCAGACTGGTTTTGAAAACTCAATCCTCCTGTCTCAGCCTCCTAAGTGCTGGGCTAACAGGCATGTGTCGCCATGTCCAGTTGTTAAAACCCTGCTCCGGAAAGCTGGCCACCTTCCTGAACTGTACGCCCCTACCTACACTCACCCCACTCACTCTAACCCCATTTTATGCTCAACTGCAGGTTCCTCTTATTTATACCCGCTTGGGGCCCAGCCATGGGAACTGTTTGAGACCTTAGCTACTGAATGAGTCTTCTGTCCTTTCTGGGGCTCAGGGTTCCACACCTGCAAGTGGAAACTAATATGCCTCACTTGCCCGGCGATGCTACACAGAAAAGAGCCAGTGAGGGCACCCTGGAGCCATGGTTACTCAGTCTCCCACTCTCTCATCCAGACAGGGTGAATTCTTTGGATGCCAGGCTGCTGGCCAAGGCTTCTCAAATACACACAGTAGCCCTGCTTCACCCAAACTACCCCTCCCCATCAGAGACCCCAAGTACTGGGGCACTCTCACACATGCCCACACCTTCAGGTTTCCCTATCCCCCACCAAGTTGCCACTTCTCAGGTGAAGGTGAGATACATTTCTCCCAAGAGCCTGGCAACATCCACTAAAACCCTGAGCCAACCCAGCTGACTGTCTTCCAGCCAGGGACATGGTGTGCCAGTCTCTTCTAAGAACAGCGTCACCAACGGGTCCCATTCTCCCTCACAGCCGCTGCTTAGCCCTCCAGGCTCTATTGCTCCTGCCAGGCAAGGGAGAGTTGCCAGCCATGGTTCCTGGGGCAGAAAGACAGACTCCCTTCCTGGACACTTCCGAAAGCCTTGTTTCTCATCCACTGTGACCCTGAGTGGCAGCCAAGGAATGTGTTCTGGTCCTGTTTTACCACGGGGGAAGACCTGGTGAACCTACCAAGAAGAGCCTACCGCTTCCCACCTCTGGATACTGGAGGAGCCTGCCGGCGCTCAGGTCACTCACCTTAGCCACATCCAGCAGGTAGATCTGCAGGAAGAACCCCAGGGCACAGCCTGTCAGCTGGTATGGGGCCCCTCCAACTGCATAACAAAGCTTGTTGCAAATGGACAACTGCTGTGTCTTCTTCTTTGGCTCCTTCTGGGGAGAGAAGGGAAGACTGAAAACAAACCCAGGATTCTGGCCTCCAACCTAGTCTCCAGCCAACCGGACCAGAAGGAACAGCTCCTCCACCCTGCCCAGTTCCCACCTAGGGAAATCCCACTTCCCCTACCCCAGAGGAAGTTGCCCTTAAACTCAGACTTATCCCCTGCATCTCCCCTAGACTCTTGAGGAAACCTATCACCCTCCATCTTTAAAGATCATCTCCCAGGTCAGGTGTGGGGAGGTAGAGCCAGGCAGGTCTCTGAGTTTGAGGCCAGCTTGGTCTACAGAGCGATTTCCTAGACAGCCAGGACTACACAGAGAAACCCTGTCACAAACAAACAAACAAAAACATAAAAATCTTCTCCCAGGTCCTCAGCCTTTGCTCCTTTCCAAGTTACCCAGAGAGAGCATGTTATAGCAGTGGACTGGTACCCCGCCCCGCACTAGCTGCCACAACCTGAAAATCCTCTTGTTGCCTGAGCCCAGCCCAGACTCCCTCCCTGACGCCCCGCAAGAGCCAGGATCCACCTGCCTACTGGTTGAGGGCACCAAGGCTGCGGGAGGCCCCACCCCAGCCCGCTGCAGCCACAGCTGTTCCTTCCATCTGTCCCAAAGTTCCTGGGCCCCTGTAGGCAATCTTCAGCTCTAGGCAAACCCTTGAGCAGCCCTACCCTCCGGCTCCCTGACACAAACCCCATCCAGCGCCTAGGGGACCTTGGAGAGGGGTGAAAAGGGTTCCAGGTGCAGGGCTCGGCCTGCTCCGGGTGGAGCACTAGGGGAGGCTGAGGTTGCCCGGGGAAAGTAGAGATTACTCATACAGCATAATTGCTCACTCGCTCCTTCCAAGATCAGTTAATAAAATTAAAAGGAAAAGTTAAGCACCTCCCAAGCAGATCTATTGTCAGAGATCCCTTTCCTGGGGCCGCATGGTTTCATGGGCTGGTTAAATAGGTCCACAGAGCTTGGACCGGCCAGAGAAAGAGTGGAGACATACGGGACGCTGCGCATGTGAACCCTCATAGTCACACAAACGCTTTCGGTATGCGGCTCCTTTAAGAGCAGAGCCCTTGTTCTTATGAATGAACTTGAGTGGCCCTTCTCAGAGTTAAAGCGTGAGAGTGGAGGGGGCGAAAGAGGGGGATGAGAGGTGAAGAACCAAGGGGACTCTCAGATTTTGGGGGTCTCTCTAGATCTAAGGAGAGAACCTAGCGTGGCTCAGCACAGGAGAACCTAGAGCGCCGGGGAGAGCCCCACGCCATGCAGAGTTGCCGGCACCGCTCTTGGCGCAAACCCAGTGGAGGGTTGAGCAAAGAGGCTACAGACTTTCTCCATCACTCTCCGGTCCCGGAGCACCACTTGGACTTCCTTCTTTTTCCAAGCCTCACCGCACCCTGTTACCCACCACAGTGTCCCAAGACCAGGCCTACCCCAGAAGCCCCTGTGCCCGCCTCTCGGGACCTCACCTTCACCTGGACCGGCCGTTCACTAGCTTGGAGGATGCCGGTGGGGAGCAGCCCCGCCGCGGAACCGCTCTCGGCGCCCTCTCCTTTGGCCATGACCCGCGGGCCACGCCGTCTGGAACCGGGACTCGGGGATGCTCCTGTGTTCCGCGGGCCCGCACTCGCCTGGGTCTCCCCGTCCTAGGAGCAGCCGCAGCTACCAGCACGTTCGCCAGCACTGAGCAAACCAGGATCGCCGGCAAGGAAAACTCCTCTCGCATGCCCCCTCCGCGCCTCTTAAAGGTTCGGTCCTGAGCTTCCAGCCAATCCCTTCACGCGCCTGCCCTACTCGTCTGGCGGAGCCTCGCTGCTTAGCCACGTTCTCAAAGCCGGCATCCGGCAACGCGTGCTCCTAACCACCTAAACAAGGCTGAGAAACCCACCTGACTCGCCCAAGGAAACTGAAGCCCAAGGCTGAAAGTGACCTGCCCGAGGCCCCCCAGAGTGAGTTCTCCCCGAGTCGAGCCTGCTAGCCCATAACTTCTGAACCCTTTAAAATCTGCCTCCTTTAAAGTCTGGAGTCAGGTGGCTTCTCCCCTCCCCCAAACCTGAGGTCATAGGCTGCAACTTTCACTATCAATGTCCCCCTCCCATGTCTCAAGATCGGCCGTTCCTTTGCCTTTGATATTTAGGGAGCCTTTTTCTTTCTTTTCTTTTCTCTTCTTTTTTTCTTTTTCTTTTGGGGGGGGGGCTTTTCGAGACAGGGTTTCTCTGTGTAGTTTTGGAGCCTGTCCTGGAACTCACTCTGGCCTCAAACTCACAGAGATCCACCTGCCTCTGCCCCCCAAGTGCTGGGATTTAAGGCGTGCACCACCATTGCCCAGCTCTAGGGAGCCTTTTTCAATGGGAGAAAAAATTAGCCAGCCCATTGGATGCCCCTTCCAGCAGGGAAGCTCTCAAGTTATACGAAGGAGTCATGGGCACAGCAGCCTTTTATGGATAGCTTCTAACAGACTTAACACAATCTCATTGGGTGCCCAGGAACTCCATCCGAGGGTGGTACTATTATTATCCCCATTTTATAGCTGAGGAAAGGGGGACACGGAGAAGAGGAGCAGCTGTTATGACAGAGTGTACAGGCCAGGAAGGTTTTGTCCAGTTCCTAAGTCTTTGCTCATGACTCTCCTGTTCTGCCTCTCAGCATAAATTACAGAAGGCTGGACTGGGTGTATGTGCTCCCAGACAGGAAGCCCTGGGAGATACAAGACTCCAAAAGCCCTCTGTGTCAAAAAGGAGAAAAAGGAAAGCTTTGAGAAAGAGAATACAGAGGAATGTGGTCCTTGAGAGAGAGGACCTTCATCTAAACAGAGCAGGCGTAACTGCCAGCAAAGAGCAGCCTTTTCTTCCACCTCTGCTAATGTCACCCCAGGCTTCCCAGATCCCCAGCAGCCTGGGTGACGTCCAGCTCTCCCTCATCAGTGAAGTTACTGCTGAGATTCTCAGAGGCCGCTCACACACGACCTGTGTTTCTCTGGGCCAGACTCCTTTTTTTTTTCTTTTAACTCAAATTGCAGGGAAGAGATATTGAGATCGGACTCCCCCACGATGATCACAGCACGCTCCCTGGTGCGCCCTGGCAGATTCCATCTGGGCACATCCGCTGTACAGAAACAAGCCAGTGAAACGGTGAAGACCATCAGAAGGCATGGGCGAGGCTCCATGTCCTCACTCTGAGCCATGTGACACGACCCTGTCCCATAAGAAGGCATAGGCAGGCTTTTTGTCCCCACTGTGAGCTGTGTGACACACTCTGTCCCATAAGAAGGCACAGATGGGGCTCCATGTCCCCACTGTGAGCCGTGTGACCCTACCCAGTCTCTCTTCCCTGTTTTAGTCTTGATTTGACTACGGTGTCCTCTCTGATCTCTTTCAGCCCTAAATTCTTCACTCCCTTGAATCATAGCATCCCGTAAATGATCTGAATCACCAGGCCAGATCATGCTCCCCTTGAAAATAAAAACTATATCTCTTTTACTTCCACATCTCACTAAACTACAGTGAGTGAATGTTCAAACACCAGAGGAGCCCATTCAGAAAAGCTGCAGGCACCTCCAGCTCTACAGTTGATCCTGGACAATTCCTGTTACCCTCCTTGTGTGCAAAGTAGGAACCTATCTGATAGGGTTGTTTGGGGGATATGACAAGAAACTGTAGAGGAAGTGTTTAGCACAAGAGCTCAGGAGCTGAGGCTGGGCTGGTCCCCTCCTGGCCTGATTCCAGTCTGTCAGTGTAGCAATGCAAGATTCCAGATATGGCCTGACCAAGCCAGTACAATAGGCCTATTATTTCCCCCAGTCTGGACACGACACATTGTTAATGCAGCCTAAGACTGCTAGGCTGCAGAGCCTTTCTCTCCCGTGATCAGTTCCCATCAGGTTGTGGCTAACTAAATCATTCAGATCCTTTGCACCAGAGCTTGGGGTCAAGTCAAGGTTCTTCACCATCCTCTACTTTGTGTAATGCTGTCAACCTCTCAGCAGAATAATGTCACCGTGCTTATTTCAGCCTGTAGAAATCGTTTTGAATCCTGGCTCTGTTGCCCACAATTTTCTTCCACTATAAATTCAGGTCCAGCTCACCCTGGCAACTTCAGTTCTATCCGTATTGGTCAGGACAGAGCCCGGTAACATGGCCCTACAGACAAGCATTCACCGTGAGCTGAGTCAGAGCAGCATAAACACAACAGTTCCCGATTAGCACATACCCAGCATGTCTTGGGCAAGCACCGTGCTCAGTGCTTTGCTTTGAATATACCATCTAGTTCATTTCTCCCAACACTAGCTAGGGTGTTTTTGGAGACACCAAAGACTAAAAGAAGAGAAACAGGGATTTGATTTTATAAACTTGATAACAGACTTGGTTGTTATCCTTCAGGTACCTACAGTCCTGACCATATGACTCCATTAGTCCCTTTAGACATTCTCCTTTCTCCCTTCTCCTATCCAGACCACCAGGCGAGCTCTGGACACCTCACCAGCTCTATGAGCCTCAGAAGACTGGATCATAAACCTGGACCCCTTCTTCACAGCCACCATCGTCTCATGAGAGAAAGAACTTCTCCCGAGTGGGCAGGCAGCTACCTATCCAATGGTAGGACTGCCTTCTAGCCCCTAGTACCTTTTCTGGGTCTAGCTCAGGCTCTCAGTTAAGGACAAATGAGTGTAAGTTCTCTGTGTTGCTCTGTATCCATGCAAGGCTGCAACTGGGTACTCCCCCAGAGAATTTCTGGATCCCCCAACCTTTCCGGAAGTAGAGAAGCAGAGTGTGTACAAAGGTCCCAGAGAGGATAAGAATACTGTTCAGTTGGTAGCGTGCTGGTCTAGCATGCAAAAAGCCCCACGTTTGATTCCCAGTAACTGTCATGGTGGTGCATGCCTGCTATCCCAGCACTTAGGAGACTGAGGCAGGAGGGTTGTTCAAGACTAGCTAGCCTAGTCAGAGAGTGGGGAGTGGGGGTGGTGGATGCCTTTAATGCCAGCACTCAGGAGGCAGAGGTAAGTGGATCTCTGAGTTCAAGGCCAGCCTGGTCTACAGAGCAAGTTCCAGGACAACCAAGGCTACACAGAGAGACTCTGTCTTGGAAGAAAAAAAAAAAAGTAGAAAGCCATAGAGGAAAACACCAGATGTTGACCTCTGGCTTCCACATGTGTGCACATGGCTAAATATACACTGTCCCTCCACGTGCATGCGCATGCACACACACACACACACACACACACACACACACACACACACACAACTTCATTGGTTTGGCGTGAGTATGTGAAGATTAGATGGAATGCTTAAAATAGTGAGCTTGACACACCATAAGCCAATGGTTCTCAACTTGTGGGTCGTAATCCCTTTGGGGGTCACATACCAGATATCCTGAATATCAGATATTTACATTAAAATTCATAACAGTAGCAAAATTACAGTTTTGAAGTAGCAACAAAAATACTTTTATGGTAGGGGTCCCCACACCATGAGGAACTGTATTAAAGGGTTGCAGCATTAGGAAGGGTGAGAACCCCTGCTGTAAGCAGTTTATAAAGTACTTCATTGTTGCTGTTGTTGTTATCATTATTTCTACACCGGGCAAAACATCACCAAACAAGGTTCTTTTTGTCAAAAAGATAAAATTTGCTTGTAACTCGCTGTACATCTTTAATCCCAGAACTCAGGAGGCAGAAGCCGGCAGATCTCTGTGAGTTTGAGACCAGCGTGGTCTATATAGAGAGTTCCAGGACAGCCAGGGCTATAGAAAGACCTTGTCTCAACAAGAAAAACAATGTTTGTTGTAAATGGTTGGGGGCTAGATTACATCTAATGACTCAAGATGGTATTTCTGGCCCACTGGGATGCTGCCAGGGCAAGTAACCAGAGAACTACTTGGAAGCTGGTACTTGCATATTATTGTTGAGGGGAAGGGTTGCTGAATACTATTGCTGCCAGGTGGAGTATTTGCAATCTGTCACTTAGTGGTAAGATTGATCTATAGTCCCAACCTGTCAGTCCTATGACCCTGACTTCTGGAGAAAAGGGTCAAGCCCATACTTTTCTCAACAACTCACTGGCAGATTTACATCCTGGGTGGGGGTGCTGTAGGGAACGGGCAGGGCCTGTTGCAAAGGCTTCCCGGAATAGCTGCAGAGATAGGGATGTCTCAGCCTGTTTCTGATCTGGTCCCTTCGTTTGTCCCATGAAGAGGAGGTGGGGCAGAAAATTAGGAGGAGGGAACTTTGAGGGTCCCAAGAGAGGCTCCTTGGAGAGGAAGTGTCCAAGGGCCCTTGAAGTCACTTGAGGCTGCTAGTTCCTGGAATATTGGTTAGGTAATTATGGATCAGGAGAGGCCTCAAGACTAATCTCTCTGATCCCTTGAGGCCATGGACCACTCCACAGGAAAGCTTCCTGAACTGGTGATAGGTGATTCCAACCCTCAGTTCTCTGGGAACTGAGGAACGTAGAGAGTACCCAGAGATTCCGTGGGACAACTGGTACCCCTGCTTCCAACTAATGCCTCAGGGTCTTCTTATTCTGCACTCTCATAAGTTCAAGGCTCCTGTCCCCAGACAAAAGAGAGCCCTACTCCTACTCCTGAGGAGATGTAAAGATGAAGGAATGGCAGAAGCTGGCAAAGCTTGTCACCCTTGGCTCACAAGGCCACGCTAAGATCGTACGGTGCTAGGTAGGGAGGCTACAGTGGTTTACGCCAAGCCACCAGGTGCCCTCGGGGCTCATGAGATCAAGTGAAGAACTCTTTGAGCAAGAGCCCAGGCAAGGAGTGTCAGAGGGTGAGGATGAGTGCCTGAGCCACACCCCTCCCTACCTGACTAGCTAGCACGATGCCCTCCTCATGCTCACACCATGTTTCTGCAAGGAAGCCTTGCCCTAGTCCGATGGCCTTGACCCATTCATAGTTGGAAGAGCCTAGACTCAGGTTAATTGGATAGGAAGGAACAGAGCTTGCCTTGTCCCTGGAGTCTTGTCTCCTCTTTGGGCTTCCTTTTCGTCCATCTGAACAGATAGCTGCTTGCCATCTCCACTGAGGCATGCCAGGACCTTATTATGATAATGTTTGGTCTCATTTATATTGATTAAAGGCGAGAAGCGATAAGAGCAGAGCTAGGACCTAGCTAGGTTTGTCAGGGTTCTGTCTCTGGTTACATATGTGATTTGGGGCAGGTCACAGCGTCTCTGCACCTCCTGTATCTGATCGGATCTGTACTTATGCTTCATGGTGCTATCCCGAGGATCTAACGAGACAGCGTCTGTGTTCAAAACAAACTTTACAGGTCACAACACATGATAGCTTCTTCTCTACACCTGCTCCTGATTGTCACGATGTATGCTTTTGACCAGTAGGCACTGGGAGAACAAATTTCTTACCATGTTTTGAAATGCAGAACTTAACGCGTGGTGCTGTGGGTGGGTGGGTAGAGGTGGGAAGGGAGGGGGATGGAGAGCACAAAAGGATACGTAAAGGGATCAGGGTGGCCTTATGGATGCAGTCATTTAGGCTTCCTTTGGACCAGCACAGGGATGAACAAGGTATGACCCATCTTGTGTGTGTGTGTGTGTGTGTGTGTGTGTGTGTGTGTGTGTTTTCTTCAAGACAGGGTTTCTCTGTGTAGTTTTGTGCCTTTTCCTGGAACTCACTTGGTAGCCCAGGCTGGCCTCGAACTCAGAGAGATCCGCCTGGCTCTGCCTCCAGAGTGCTGGGATTAAAGGCGTGCGCCACCACCGCCCGGCTCATCTTGTGTTTTAAAGAGATCCCACCTAGTTGTGGAGGGAAATATAGGCAGAATATGACCACGTGATATGACCAAGGCCAGTCGAACTCCATCTGAGTGCCCAGAATTGAGAACACCAGATTCCGTTTGAGGGATGTAAGTCTTGAAAGGCTTCAAGGAGGAGGTAATGACAGAGCTAGCTAAGTGCTATAGGATGAGGTGAGGAAGTAGGATGTGAGACAAAGGGAAGGCCTGGGACACAGGTGTGACAAGGTCAAAGAGCAGTGAGCCGCTTGCACTGGCTGCCCTGGAAATGGATGGTCTGTGAAGGTCAATGGTAGGAGCTCTGCATCATGCTACAGGCAGAGTGGAGCCCTAGGAAGCACTCTGAGCACAAGAGTGAAGTGATTAGAGCTACAGAGGGAGGCTTCCCAGCACAGTTCAGAGCCTGAGCTGGGTGATGGGGTCTGCTGAGCCTTAGTGGTGTGCTTGGTAAGATAGGATCTGGTGAGAATCCTCAGACTCTCATCCTATCCTCTCAAACGACAGCAGCAGCACTTAGGTCCCTCTAATTCAATTTTCCTTTTTGCCTTTTTGAGACAGGGTTTCCCTGTATAGTCTGGGAACTCACCCTGTAGACCAGGCTGACCTCCAACTTACAGAGATCCACCTGCCTCTGCCTCCCAAGTGCTGGGACTAAAGGCATGTGCCACCACCATGCCGAATTCAACTCTTAATAATAATCAGAGGATTAAAAAAAAATCCGAGCCGGGCAGTGGTGGTGCACACCTTTAACCCCAGGGCTTGGGAAGAAGAAGCAGGAGAATCTCTGTGATCCAACCTGATTTATCTAGTGAGTTTCAGGCCAGTATAATGAAGCCCTGCCACAAAAAAACAAAAACAAAAAACAAAAAAAACCCAAACAAACAAAAGTTGGATTGGGGATATAGTTCAATTGCTCAAGAGCTCACAGCACGCCCATACAAATCTGAATTCAGATCCCAAGCTCTCGTTTAAAAAGCTGGGCATGCTCCTTTAATCTCAGTGCTGAGAAAGGAGGCCAATGGGTCTAGCCCAGTTGGTGAGCTCCAAAGTCTCAAAATAAAGTGGAGGGTCAGTGAGATGATTCAGTGAGGAAAGACACTTGCTGACAAGCCTGATGACCTGAGTTCAATCCCTGGGATCCAGTTGATAGAAGGAGAGAACTGACTCCTGCCAGTTGTACATTGACTTGCACACACACACACACACACACACACACACACACACACACACTTTGGGCTAGAGATATAGTTGTTGGTAGAGTGCTTGTCCAGTATGCCCAAAATGCTGGGTTCAGTCCTCAGTGCAGCACAGTCTGGCCACGGTGGTATATGCCAGTAATCCCAACATTTGGGAGGTAGAGGTAGGAGCAACAGAAGTTCAAGGCCATCCTCAGATACATGGCAAGTTTGAGACCCATCTGGGCTACGGGAGACCTTGACCAAAAAAAGAAAAAAAATTCTATTTTATCCCCATTTGAAGCAACCAATTTTAAATATTCAATAAATGTTGATGAATAAGGATAAGTTAAGTGGGGACATGGTGGCACACCCCTGTATTTTCAGCACTAGAAAGTCAGAGGCAGGAGGATCAGGAGTTCAAGGCCATCTTTGGCTACACGTCAACTTCAAGACTAGACTGGGCAATAGAGACTCTGTCGGAAAGCCAGAGAAGAGAAGGACCCAAAGTCGAAGAGCAGCAGCAGCTGCAGCTTCCTGCCCCATCAGGCTTCTGAGGAGCAGCCCTTGCAGAGAAAGCCTCCTCACAGTGATCATCCAGACTGGAGAACACCCACCTGCCCTTCTGCACCTCCTCCCAGGAGCTCTCACCAGGGGT